CTTTCTAGTTACCCAGTTAAAGTTTATGTGGTTTTCAATTGTTTCGAAATATTTTTGATTTGATCGGTTATAAAGAACTAAGACAATAATCGATTTTATAAACATCATAAAAGTTAGAAACATATTAATTAAGTTATTATTTCGCTTGTTTCTCATTAAATCTTTCAATTACATCTAAAACTTTTCTGTTACCCACAGTTATAGTTTAATTTTTTCGAAATACTTTTGATTTGATCGGTTATTTAATTTAATGAACATCATTAATTTTGCATTGGCTTTGGGCTCATTGTTTAAGAGATAATTTAACATCTTCTGTTTATTACAATACACAATATTACTTTTTAGAACCTCTTCTTAATACTTGTAAACTTTAATATAAATCGTTTCAGCCAATTCGAAAATTATCTAGCATAGGCAGGCAAAAGGGGAATTTACGTTTTAATAGAATACAAATAATTTCAATTTTATTTATATGATGCTTTCAACAGAACTTCAGCAGAGAAGAATGTTAAAAGAAAAACGAATCAACCCTTAGGGGGCGCGAGACAAATCGGGCATGCACTTGTTACCAAAATAACATTTTTAAATATAAATTAAACAAACAAAAAAAATAATTCGTATCCTCAATATTTTTTTATAAAAAAAGGCGGGAGACAGAGGTACAGAAAGGTCTATGGGCTACATCAAATTTTTAACAGGCATTTCAATTCACCATTTTTGACATGCGAATTCGTGTCTTTATAATAAACCGCAATCCCACACAAGGCAACCCTTCTGTTTAGACCGCAGTCACCCGCATTCAAAAATAGTAGCGTGGTTATTAAAAGTCAAAATGTTGATTGATTAAAAATAGGTGACGATAAGACCGTAGATGATCTCTTTGTGTGTTCCACTGTTGGTCTCTCAGTTCATTTCCGTAACTCTTTTAGCATACTCACCCTTGTTATTTGACAAAGGAACAATTTTATTGTGGAAAGGATTTTTACCAAATAGTTTATTCCATTTGATGTTCGCCTAAAAGACAATCGTAAAAATTAAAAATTCATATGGATACGTAGGTACATATACACATATATAAGTTACCTATTATTTTTTATACTTAATTAAAGTTCAAGTACCTAATCAAATCGTCACTTCAAAGGACAAATTGTCTGAGCATATGTATCAAAATATGCTTTTCCATAAAAGTCTTCTAGTATTGAAACCATGATTTCCAAAATTGTTATTTTTTTTACAAATTTGATAACTAAATTATCTCGAACTTAGATTCACGAAAGGCGTTTACCCATAAATTGTAAAAGACATTCCAATAAAAATTATTTTACATTTACTTGTAAATAACAACTACATCAGCCGCGCTTTATGAAAATCGAAGATGTTTTTTATTCATTTTTCACTCAAATTTTGAGGTGGTTAATTTAACCCATTTACCGATTTTGAGGAGTTTTACGCTTTGTTCAAAAGGTTTTGGGAGAGTTTAGTTTAACTGGTACTTTTTGAATTTTCATTGATGAAATGTCTCTATTCGATTACCCATAGTTTACTTTACTAACAGTTTTCCTGTAAATTTTCTTTTTGGTGAAAATCATGTATATAGAGATGTTTCATTATTGACTATCGTAGAAGGCTCAGGTGTTCAGAGGAGCACTTAAGAGATAGAGAAGGGTAGTCCTGCAGGGTCGTATCTAATCGATAACAGTTAGGTCTGGAGTTTAGTTTTTTCAAAATAAAGTGATTGCTAATAATTGCAAGAAATAAAAATTGATCATCTCGATGATTACTACGATCAAATTTATTATTTTGCAAGCGCAATTTTATTAATAATAGGTAGGTGAATGCAATAACATTTTCATTAAAATAAAAAAGAACCGAAAACAAGCGTAACCAGGAATAATGTACAATATAAAATCCTGAATTTTTAATTCATCTTCAGTCCATCATCAATTCATTTTATGAAGTCAGAAAAGCAAATTCTCTGAATAAGGGATAATGGGGGTAATAAGAGTCAATACCTATGCAGTTTATTACACGTAAAGTAAAACACAAATTTCTTATCTTTTTTTTACATGATTCGAATAAAATTTGGTCAATAGTTTATTGTAAAAAGAAATATGAAAATGTAAATAGATAGACAGTAGTTCAAACATGGGAGAAAAACAATAAATTATAAGGATTTAAAGAGTCAACAAACAAATCCGGACATGTATCTGTAACAAGCACCGATTGAATTGATGTCACGCATTGTCCCCACGCGTTAAAGAAAAGGGTCCTTTACACAATGAAGGGAAAATTCAATTGTGAAGGGTGTTCTAATAGGGATTACTTGCTTCAGCTGCTAAATAACATAAAAAATGCCAAATTGGGGGATTTCGCGTGCAACAAATAAACCATTATCATCCACCTGCTTTACACTGCACAACATATAAACATGACTGTATGCATAAATACGATCAAAAATTTCGATTACATTTATGTAGTAATTAAGCACTCTGGGGTACACAAAAGAAATATTATCTGTTGAATTTCATTATGGTCAAATTAGTTCCCATTTCCAGTCAAGTCCAACTCTTTCGACTTATGGTATTTTATAAAAATCGATTAATTTTTATTATATTTGTAGGTAACCTACCTAATACTTGTGATATTTTCAATATTTTAATTTAGTGGAAATATCGTTTTCCCCAACGGTAGTCAGCAGGGCTGTCGAGAAAAAATTTGGGACCGAATTAGATATAGCATGATTTCTTACAAAATTTTTTTATATTTAGATGATAAAAATAAGTAAAATTTTCGGATCTGTATAAAAAAAAACCAGTCTGGAGGAATTCCCTTCATCCTGTTGACGGTTCAGGTACGGTCCACTATTTAACAAAAAAAGATTTCCTTTATTAATATTCAAAGAATTTAAATTTTTTGTGAAATTTCAATTACCAAGATTTAGAATAATATAAAAGGCTGTCTTTAGAATATGTCATCCACAATTTCACTTTTTTGGAATCTTCCCTTCCCCCTCGTCACGCTTTTAGAGATCCCAAAAAAATATTACGACATAAATGCTACCCCACCCCCCTTATAAACCATTTCTTGTGATTAAAATACATACAAGAGTATACAATTTAAAAAATTAATTTTCAACTATCCATATGTTTATTCACAGGCTTTTAAGTACTTGAGATTTACCTTCTGTCGTCACGAAAAACCGTCAAAAAAACGGACGTATTTTATGAAAGAACCCTTAATATCAAACAAAAAGTTTTCAAAAGCTTTTGTGGAAAAGAATTTGTAAGAATACGATTCCGCCCTTAAAGATCTAATATCAGATTCGTGTTATTTAGTTTTCAAAATTTGTATTTATGCGAATAGCAGAATATACATTACATTTAACAATCGTCAAGCAACGTCTAAATAATTTTAAATTTTAAACTTAAATCTAAACTATAAAGTTCCTAAAATCTATGAAAATCTGTTTTATTTCTCCTTGTTCCTTCTTTAAAATTTTCGGTCAAGTATGAAACCGACTTTTTCGAAGCGGTGGCACATTCAAAATGATTTTCTTTGCTACAGAAACGCACAAATTTGTTTGTTGTTTCAATCCCCTGACTATGTGCTTGGTAGAAGAGAAGCTCATTTTTTTATTTATTTTTTTAGATTTAATATTTAATTATCAAATAGTTAAAAATTATTTATTTTTGATGTTAGAAGTGATAATTAAATTATCGATGTCTTAGATTTCGTAAAGAATTTAACAACACCTTGTATCTGTTCTACTTATCCTTGTTAAAACCGAGGATAACACTTGTACTTCCAAACCCTTCTGTACATGTTCAAACCTCCTGCGTTTGAAAACATTTAAAAGGATTATCATAACGACTTCAATTTAGGGGGGTGAATATGAATGGAAAAACAGGTGGTGCTTTATATGTAAACACACTTACATATATCTGATTTACGTGACCAGCTCAATTAGGTGGTTTTAACAAAAAATATAACATATGAACGATAAAGAAAATTAATGTAATACTAAAACAAAAATTTAAATTACAGTAAAACTTCTATATTAGGGGGGGGGGTCAAGCCGGGCAAATTCCCAAAGCGACAGACAAAAATGGGGGGTGATGAAAACGGGGGCGGCAAAATTAAGGGCGTCGGGAGGTTGCACGGAGAGAAATTTTATAAATTACTATTTTAGCTAGCGGCTTGTAATCTTCTAATTATCTTGATACTATCAGCTATTAAGTAGCCAACAAGAAGAAAAATAGGAATGAAGGAACCAACTCTTTGGAACACTCGAAATGTAATGTTATTTGACGATTTTTGAGTTGAGAATATAAAGAAATATTTTCTATTTTTTTGCCGAGTTTCGTTTCGTTAGGACGATTCCTCATCCCGTTGAGAGCAGGAGTTATTTTCAATAATTTGTATCCTACAACGCGACAGTTTAGGGGAATTACTCGTAACGTTGCAGCTATGTACTTTCAACCCCTAACTTTAGTCTTTTTGGTTTGTACTTATCGTCGGTTTCCAATGTGAGCAATTAACTTCAAATGAAAATTGGTAATATGGAGAAACAAATGTCTGTTGTTATCGCGGTGTTAACAGATTATCAGCTATTCTATCTACATGTAAATCATCTATATGTAGAATTTCCATTTACTATTTATATACGTTGAAAACGGCAAGTTGTGCGGTAATGACCAACTTAATTTTTTACTTTTTTTAACTTTTGAATTTTGTTCTATCTACTATGTTTAAATATACTATCTTAAATGATAATTACTATATTACATTCCACTAAATTCTCACAATCTCAGAAGAAAAATATTTGAAAAACAAACTTTCAAATTTAATTTAATTTACTGGTTTTTCCGATGTATTAAGTGGTAATAATTTGTATGGTCTGTTTTCTTTATTCGTTAAAGCAGTAGTTATGGAATTCGTATATTCAAATTTAAATATAGAAGAAAAAGAAGATAATCAACGTGTTCATAACCTACAAAATTGAAAGCAAATTTCAAGGTTAAGTTTTAACCTTTTAACTTAAAACTTCTAAATATAGGAAAACTTCAATAATTATTTTAAAATGACTACAACAAATAAACTGACAGAAGATGAATTGTTTTGTGATGTTGAAGACGAATTCGACTTCTCTCCCTTAAACATTAATCCTTCAAGTAATATTGGCGAAGCTGAAAGCAGTACTAGTGACTATGATGAAGATGATGACGGTTTTGATAACTTTTATGAGGATAGAAATAAAGCAAGGAAAAACACTGGTGACTCTAATGTTAACGTGCAGCAGTCTTCTAATAAAATGAATTCCTATCAACCAAATGAACAACTATTTCGAAAATACTTGAATAAAATAAATGTTGAAAAATACGAAGGACCTTCGAATTTACCACAATCTGCAAAAAATGTTTTAATAGAAAATCAAAAGCGGCTGGAAAATGAACGAATTAGAACTAAAGACAAGAAAGATAGAGCTACGGCTGAACAGGTCATGGATCTTAGAACCCGAATGATTTTATTTAAATTACTGAACAGAAATCTTATCTCAGAAATTAATGGGTGCATTTCCACTGGTAAAGAAGCTAACGTGTATCACGCAACCTCTGATAAAGGAGAAGATTTTGCAATTAAAGTATATAAAACATCAATATTAATATTTAAAGATCGTGATAAATATGTTTCTGGAGAGTTTAGATTCCGTCATGGATACTGCCGACATAATCCCCGAAAAATGGTGAGAACATGGGCAGAAAAAGAAATGAGAAATTTGATACGTTTATACAACAATGGAGTAAATGTTCCAAAACCCATTTTATTGAGATCTCACGTCTTAATAATGGGTTTTATAGGCATAGATGGTTGGCCTGCTCCTCTTTTAAAAGATGCAAATTTGGAGCAGTCAGAATCTCGAGAAGTTTACCGAGAAATTGTTATTATGATGTGGAAAATGTATAATAAGTGTCATTTAGTCCATGGAGATTTATCAGAATTTAACATTTTGTATTTAAATGGCCAAGTGTACATAATAGATGTATCTCAATCCGTAGAACATGATCATCCACATGCCCTTGAACTACTTAGAAAAGACTGTACTAATATTACAGCCTTCTTCAGGAAACAAGAAGTTGCAGTTATGACCATCAAACAACTTTTTGATTTCATTACAGACCCCTCAATTAATGAAAGAAATATGGAAGAATGTTTAGAAAAACTAGCAGAAATAGCAGCTAAAAGAACTTTAGAAGAAATATCAGCACAAGAACAGGTAATTAGTAAATAGGAAGTACTATTTCGCAAGTCCTTAGTCAATACAATTTTCAATTTAAATTTTTTCACAGGTTGAAGAGGAAGTATTTAAGAATGCTTATATTCCTAAGCGTTTAATTGAAGTTGTGGATTATGAGCGGGATATAAACAAAGCAAAGGCAGGGGAATCAGTTGAATTAGTTTATAAAACATTGATAGGTTTAAAGGCTGACCTTAGTGGAACAGTAGAAAAACCACAAATTTTGGATGAAATGAAAAATGAAGAAGAAATAGAAGAAAGTAATGAAGAATCAAATGGGTCGGAAAGCTCAGATTCTGAAGACAGTAGGAGTAAATTTATTAATAGCGCGCGTCCCAAAAATGAAACTTTAGAAGAAAAAAAAGCTCGCAAGAAGAATATGAAAGAAGAAAAAGCTAAAAAGAGAGAAACCAAAATTAAAAAGCATGTCAAAAAAAGAAAAGAAAAAATCAGCAAAAAGAAGTAAAAGAAGGAATTGTTATGTTGTTTTTTAACTTTGTTTTGTTTATGCCTAAATACNCAAATCTTTTAAATAAGTCTACGATTGTATTTTCATGTGTACATATGAGAAAATATTAGAAAAAAATATAACGTATTTAAATTGTTGAGAATATCAAGCATATATGCAATCTAATTTCTTGAAAGGGGTTGTACGGAGAAAAATTAAAGACATAAGTAACATAAGTTTATTTATCAGAAAAGCAAAACCATATTCAAATCAAGTTTTATTAATTACTTTAGTGAATAAGGAATTCTGTTTGCTCAATAATAATGTCTTTCAAGAAAAGTATTTATATATGTTGAACTTATCAAAACAATCCAAACTATATAAAAAAGTCAAGTCTCACTCAACGATTTTCTCAAATTATCCCTGTCTTTTAGCCATGTGGATAGTGACACGATATTTTTAAATTTTGTGCACTTTCACTTGATACCACTTACGACCATGTAATATATATCTATACGCGATATTCGTGATATGATCGTCTGCAATAACTCCCTTTCGTGCAAAAATTTCACGAAAACACATATAGGCACTTAATGGTCGAAATGTGCATTTGTATTATTAAATAATTTGTTTTTTTTTGTGGTACATGTACCTGCGATTTACGCAAACATTACTTCCAAATGCTGTTAGATATAACATATTCATAAATATTATATTCAAATAATTTCATAGTTTAACAGATATTTATTGATTTTATAGTAGTTAAACTGGGTCAGTGTTTATGACTTCTTTGTAAAATCAATTTTTATGATTTCCTCGTGTCTTTAGTACAACTTTTTGCTTATCAATTATTTTTAATACATTTTTTCTTGAATTCTTTTTGCTTCAGTATTATAAAATCATAGTTATGCACGATTATATTCTTGTTAAAATGTTATTATTAAATACTTATTTTATTTATTGTTAAAACTTGTTCGTGTTAAAATGTAGTTTATTATTAATTTGTTATAGGAGTTGAAATTTAATGTGGTTTCTTGTTGTAATTGTTATGATGTTAAGAACTAATTTTTTGTATATTTTTTTTTGTGTTTTTAGAGCAACTAACAGACACTGCCACTTTAAACACTTTTAAAATGTAAAATACAAACTACATAAATGTGAATGTATACATACTTATGCAACGTAGAAAAAATGTAATAACTGTTACATAATAAAAACGAAGCTATTATTTAGTCTAAAGGGAATAAATAATAAAAATAAAAAATATATGTTTATTGTAATACATTTTAAAATATAAA